TTACCTCTAATATTCATTAACAAAGTTTCCAAAAATAGGCAATCATCTATGTTTAACTTTAAATCAATATCATCAATCTCGCAGATTTCAGAATGAATTTCATATTGTCTTTTGGTTGCCTCAATTTCATTTTTGACTATTTTAACGTATTCATGATCTCGTAGAAGAGATGTGTTAAATTTCCAGTAGCCCCTCCCTCTTGACTTATTGTCAGAGGGAAAAGTTAAAGTAATGGCTGAGTGGTCCGATTTATATCCTGGTAAAATTGCAGTATCAACAGTTACATTTGATATATCTTGTGAGACCAGAAAGAAGTCCAGTCTAGCTTGCTGCTTTGGATTCTTTTTCCACCATGTATACTTCCTGGCATCAATATTGAGGTCACGCCAAATGTCAACAAGATTAAATTCATCAATTTTCTCCATAATTATATTTCTAGCATTAGGGTTATTTACATGCTTATAGTTTTCTAGATCTATTGAAGGATCTATGACTAGGTTCCAGTCTCCACAAAGTACCATCGATTCATTATCAAATTCGTCAATTGCACCAAATAGGGTGTTATAGAAAGCAGGGTTATCTTTGTTTGGCCCATATACATTCATTAAAGTCAGTCTTGTACCATCAACACTAGTATCAACAATTATATAATTACCACTAGCATCTTTCTTGTATTTGTGTATGTCTATTTCTACATCATTGTTAAATAGGATTGCTACGTATACACCTCTAGAGTTTGAGCTAAAAGGAGCTATGATGCTATTAATTCCCCACTCATTTCTAATGATATTTTCATCTTTTTCAGAAATGTGGATATCCTGCAAACATATAATCGAGGCTTTACGTTTCCTCCATATATTCATAATGTCACGTCTGTTTTGTTTTTCTGCCAGACCCCTGCAGTTTGCTGAGACAATTTTAATTCTATTAACCATTATCCAAATATTCTTTGAACAGTTCTTTTAGATAATACTTGGCTGTGTACCTTATTGAATTCATGAGTCCAATCTATCCAACACTGCCTACGATTACCTTGCACCATACGACATAGTCGGCGATCACTTCTCTGGTCAGCCAATTTGGGCCTCCCACTTCTAGCCTTGTTTTCTACTGAACCGCAGGCAGAAGATTTCTTCCAGGCTCTACAGACAGTAGATTCATGTATCCCCAAAATCTTAGCAATGTTGCAATTTTTTTTCTCCACTCTGTTTCAAAAATATTAACCTTTCTTTCAACCTGGTAGTCAATTCTCTTCTGACAGCAGAGGGCGGTGGGGTAGCCCAGTGGTTAAAGCGTTGGCTCGTCACGCCGAAGACCCGGGTTCGAATCCCCACATGGGTACAATTTGTGAAGCCCATTTCTGGTGTCCCCCGCCGTGATGTTGCTGGAATATTGCTAAAAGCGGCGTAAAACCAAAATTCAGTCAGTCAGTCAGTCTGACAGCAGCCATGATTTCATCTCCAGAGTAAACAGGATGTCGTCTGCTCCACCTACTTCCTGTAGGTGCTAGGTGAAAAAGTAACCCCTAAAATATGTTCCCATATCAAAATTTATTTTTTTGATGTAAACAGTGTAAAAATTGTATCCAAATACCTAACGGCCATCTCAGCTCAAATACAGTGGCAGCCATATTTCTTGCAACACTTTTGGCATGGTGCTGTAGAAAAGATGTTAATAGGGATGCGCGAAAGAGGCGTCAATACCTCAGCATCTTCAACTTCCAAACACAAGGGATAAGTATTTCAATGTCAAAAATTGAAGGACCTTTTTTATAATGTTAGTTATCATTTAATAGTTGAATTTTTAAAAGAATTAGACTTGTTGACTGATCTGTAAATAGCTAAATATTTTATTATTGGTAGTTTATTATTGTTCGTGGCTGTACACTCAAAGGGGGTTGAAGTAGCGTAAAAATATTGTCCTCCTGAGAGGGTACGTAAGCCCCCAAACTTTCAAAGTAATATATAAGTTATCACATTTTAAACGTAGTATTTTAGTTATTTTAACTGTTTGCAAAATTTCCTACAATCGCCATCGGCTGAAGGGATGGTGTAAATCCAGCTAGGATCCATGCAGGTAGCAAAAGTAATGTAAGTCCCCATGGTTCCTAGTATGGTGATCTACCTTCAGTTGTTGGCGATCTATAGCCCATTTTTACATTGTATTGTCCAAAAATTGTTTTGTACTTTTACAAAGATATATGCAAGCTAGTTTTAACTCAATCTGTGATAATCTAGTGGTTTTACTGTCCTTTGCTGACAGGGTTTTATATATTATATGTATGTATTATGAATTTAGAACTAGTTTTAGTCACGATACGGCTGAAATATTGCCGATGTGACTTTAAATCTTAACTCACTCGCTCACTCACTCAACTGCCAAACATCACACTAATTCTGATGGATGTGCATTTTGAAATTGATATTTTGAAGGGCCAGTGAAGTGTGATGTGTTCTAGCAACATTTTTACTTAACTAACCCTCCTGGCCAGGGACTCTTCAAAATTAATTCATACGCTGTTTCTGTGTATAAGATTCCACTAAGAAATGAAAATTAATGAATTTCAATATATTTTGATATACTGGTTCACGAGGTAATAGACACAAACCTATGTATAAGGGAACCAACCTAGCACAGAACCCATATAATAAACTGACGTACTAAAGGAAGTATACACTTGATGCCTGGGGATAGTTTTGCAGAAACCGTATATTTTTAACGTATTTTGATTGTGTTTTGATTTGACTTACAATTCACAAGTTAGTGTCCGTGTTGTTAAAAATTCGTTTTGCTTTCAGAAACGTCCGTGTTTAAAATGCACGAATCGGATATCTGCCCCTGTATATTCCTGCTTTCTATACTAATATTATAAATGCTGATGAATATTTCGATGAACTTTGGCCCGAATTTTATCGGTCAGGTTATACGTGTATATACATACATATGTGTCCAACACTGTAGGTGTTGCAGACTGGATTCAAATTGAATGCTTACAGTATTGCGATCCTATTAAATCCCATATTTATCCTATTTGTTTATATGTTAACAAATAGAATCAGTATAATCAGACCATGATTTCAGTGTTTTAAAAGTTCATTCACTTGATGCAAAAATCACAAATAGACCACTTAGCATATTGAACAGGGTACAATTTTGTAGCGTGATAGTTGGCTTATGCTGAAGTGGGAACCATTCCATCTGCTGCAATATCAACGTTATCTGCATTGCACATTATATACTCACCAGAGGCCCTCCAGTGTCGTTAAGGAAACATTATCAACATCGTACATTATATACTCACCAGAGGCCCTTCCAGTGTCGTTAAGGAAACATTATCAACATCGTACACTATATACTCACCAGAGGCCCTACCAGTGTCGTTAAGGAAACATTATCAACATCGTACATTATATACTCACCAGAGGCCCTTCCAGTGTCGTTAAGGAAACATTATCAACATCGTACATTATATACTCACCAGAGGCCCTTCCAGTGTCGTTAAGGAAACATTATCAACATCGTACATTATGTACTCACCAGAGGTCCTTCCAGTGTCGTTAAGGAAACATTATCAACATCGTACATTATATACTCACCAGAGGCCTTTCCAGTGTCGTTAAGGAAACATTATCAACATCGTACATTATATACTCACCAGAGGCCTTTCCAGTGTCGTTAAGGAAACATTATCAGCATCGTACATTATATACTCACCAGAGGCCCTTCCAGTGTCGTTAAGGAAACATTATCAACATCGTACATTATATACTCACCAGAGGCCCTTCCAGTGTCGTTAAGGAAACATTATCAACATCGTACATTATATACTCACCAGAGGCCCTTCCAGTGTCGTTAAGGAAACATCATCAACATCGTACATTATATACTCACCAGAGGCCCTTCCAGTGTCGTTAAGGAAACATTATCAACATCGTACATTATATACTCACCAGAGGCCTTTCCAGTGTCGTTAAGGAAACATTATCAACATCGTACATTATATACTCACCAGAGGCCCTTCCAGTGTCGTTAAGGAAACATTATCAACATCATTATCATCGTGTGTCGTTAAGGAAACATTATATACATCACCAGAGGCCCTTTCCAGTGTCGTTAAGGAAACATTATCAACATCGTACATTATATACTCACCAGAGGCCCTTCCAGTGTCGTTAAGGAAACATTATCAACATCGTACATTATATACTCACCAGAGGTGTCCATTCCAGTGTCGTTAAGGAAACATTATCAACATCGTACATTATATACTCACCAGAGGCCCTTCCAGTGTCGTTAAGGAAACATTATCAACATCGTACATTATATACTCACCAGAGGCCCTTCCAGTGTCGTTAAGGAAACATTATCAACATCGTACATTATATACTCACCAGAGGCCCTTCCAGTGTCGTCAAGGAAACATATTCAACATCGTACATTATATACTCACCAGAGGCCCTTCCAGTGTCGTTAAGGAAACATCATCAACATCGTACATTATCAACATATATATACTCACCAGAGGCCCTTCCAGTGTCGTTAAAGGAAACATTATCAACATCGTACATTATATACTCACCAGAGGCCCTTCCAGTGTCGTTAAGGAAACATTATCAACATCGTACATTATATACTCACCAGAGGCCCTTCCAGTGTCGTTAAGGAAACATTATCAACATCGTACATTATATACTCACCAGAGGCCCTTCCAGTGTTAAGGAAACGTTAAGGAAACATTATCAACATCGTACATTATATACTCACCAGAGGCCCTTCCAGTGTCGTTAAGGAAACATTATCAACATCGTACATTATATACTCACCAGAGGCCCTTCCAGTGTCGTTAAGGAAACATTATCAACATCGTACATTATATACTCACCAGAGGCCCTTCCAGTGTCGTTAAGGAAACATTATCAACATCGTACATTATATACTCACCAGAGGCCTTTCCAGTGTCGTTAAGGAAACATTATCAACATCGTACATTATATACTCACCAGAGGCCCTTCCAGTGTCGTTTAGGAGGATACCGGAGCTTATTTAGCTCACATTTAACATGCCGTGCCTCCTCAAGGCGAGGACGACAATGCAGAACCAAACACGTCCGAGCAAGTGCAGTGTTCGGATCCAGATTAACCTAATGTCCTCTGCAGGATACCTCCTTGCGATTTCACTCTTGCTAAAGTTATGACCTCAGGAGTATATATTACCAGACACGTCACAAAAAAAGCATTTGATTGTTGACTGTATTGTTCATACGTTCACCTGATGGAGACAAGGTCAAGGAGTCGGCGGAACATGTTCGGCTAAACCGCCTGGGATAGTAAACGTGAAAGACCAGGTTGACTTCCCTTTAACAAAGACCAAACTGTATGTTACAATTTGTGAGTCAGCAAGGGAACGCGGAAACGAAAATGATTTACAAGGGCTCATGCAAGTCGCTGTGTCAACTGGCTTTGTTGTCGCTGGCCTCTACATTGCTGGAGTGTCAATATGTCCTACACAGGGTGTAACGAGTTAAGTCACGCTTCAAAACGCAAGCGAAAGCTGTGGGATTTAACTGCTAATACCTTAAAATTGACTGGAAAAATGTCTGCTGTAGTAATATTGGCATTAAATTTACCACTGTGCACGCGTGTAATTGTTCTAACAATTTTCACCCTAACTTTTGTAAAATGACAGATCTAAACACTTTGGGATTGTAACTTCGTACGTTTACACAAAGGCAATGGTGTTTCTTCATTTCTGAAGAATAATTATACCTCTGTATGAGTCCGAAACACATAATAGCGTCAGTGGCTTGATGCTCATTATGTCAATCACTAGATTGTTAGATTCTAACTCCAATATTTACAGACTGACGTCATGTACCTGGAATATTGCTGAGTGAGGCATTAACAAACAAAGCTGTGGGCAGATGAGCCTTGAAATATGCAAGATATTATAATGATAATCATTTTAATTCATGTACTGAGTATTACATGTTACATACCTTCACTTCAATGTGTGGTTCCATATTTACGTACAAATAGAATCTCGCATATCTTGCACTATCGATTATTCGATCAGGAATACACGATAACATGTGAATATGGTTGTGTTTGCAATGATGTTTATGTGTACACTGATCACTAAAGCATATATTCAGTGTCACATACTTTCAATGGAGATAATTATATCTTCTGTTGGTTTAATGTACGTTTGTTATTATCAAGCTGAAGCTGGAGATGGAACTACTTCATGGAACCTAGTCTCACAATGGTGACAAGTAGATGTGTTTAAAATTGCAAACAAAGCGAAGTAGTTAATTTGTAGTTGTATTTAACTCCTGGTGGATTGCCCCCTACTTCAAGGAGCACCTGGCTTACATGGGTGGCCAGCCGTGGCACTCACAGCCTACAGTGGGAATGGTCGAGGTGATATTTTCACACACATAAACCTTATCACTATCTGCAAGAACCTCTAGTATCTTGAGTTCCTCTCGGTTATGATGCATATAGATATGTGGGCGGGTGCTATTGTGAATATATGAGCCTAATGAAGAAATGTGTGAAATGGATAATGAAATAATTGGTTGTTGTGTTGTGTCAGTATATATATGTGTGTGTGTGTCTGTGTGTGTGTCTGTGTGTGTGGGGGGGGGGGCATGCTGAAACATAGGGTATCAACAAACAAACAATATCAATGTGACAGTGGGCGCGCTGTGTGTGTGTGCGCGCGCTGTGTGTAGGGGAGCTCTCTCTCTCTCTCTCTCTCTCTCTCTCTCTCTCTCTCTCTCTCTCTCTCTCTCTCTCTCTCTCTCTCTCTCTCTCTCTCTCTCTCTCTCTCTCTCTCTCTCTCTCTCTCTCTCTCTCTCTCTCTCTCTCTCTCTCTCTCTCTCTCTCTCTCTCTCTCTCTGTGTGTGTCTGTGTGTGTGTGTGAGTGAGTGAGAGATATCACCCTGTTAATGACAGTGTTACTTTACTTTCTTTCACGGTGTATAATAGCACCTGAACGAACGGGGCTATGTTAGTGATGAGCTGGTGTTGGCTAGCAGTGTAATATCTACTGTACTTCCAATGGGATCCTACCGTCGACAGAACTGCCAATCTTCATGGTATAACAGAGACCCGTTGAACATATAAGTATATCTTAAAACTATGAACTTGATTTGCCAAGGTCGCCAGTTGTTGCAATATTATGTTATTTAGGTTCAGGCATCACTGACCCGTGAAGATCCGGGTTAGAATTGGACTTCAGCAACCAATGCTTGTCGTAAGAGGTGAGTAACGGGATCTAGTGGTCAGACTCGCTGACTTATGTCATCGTATTCAAATTTCGTAGATCGGTGCTCTTGATGTTGATCACTGGATTGACTGGTTTTACAGATCGCCGTGATGCAGCTAGACTATTGTTGAGTGCGGCGTTAAACAACAAACAAAACAAACATCAGGCCATCACAAAATACAACTTGTCGAGGCATCATAGAACATTCACCTCAGAGGAACTCCGTGTTGAGTGTGCGCGTTGGGGACAGTCATTGTAAATGTCATCCTTATTGTGATATTGCACGCTTACCCTTTTTGCCAACACCTGGTGTCATCACTTCATAGTAATCAGTTATACAGTTCATCACTAATTTGCCTTTACGCCTTTGCTCGCAGTATCAAGCTATTCGTGAACACTATCTATCAAATCATATCAGTGTTAATACAAATATGTTTATGGTGATTCATCTGTTGTAATAAGCAGTATTGAATCATTCAGTATCGCTAAGAGTATTTATTATTATATCATGAATATATACATTTAAAGATAGAGAATAATTAACTAAATATCTAAGTTGAACAGCCTCATTCATGGGCTGTAATCAGTCAACATTAATTACTCGCTGTGTGACCGCCTCCGTGGTGTAGTGGTTAGAGCGTCCGCCCGGAGAGCGGAAGGTAGCGGGTTCGATCCCCGACCGCGTCATACCAAAAGACATTAAAATATGGTACTTGTTGGTCCCTGCCTGGCACTCGGCATTAATGGGTACAGCAAGGACTGGTCGGCTCGGAGTCAGTATAATGTGTCTGAGTGGGATATTCATGCTTCACTGCGGCATGGTATCTCAGTGGGCTAGCACTATAAAAACAGCTTAAGTCTGGGCTAGTACAAGCAGCCGCACATACACATACACGCACATGCACGTCGTCATATGAGCGAAATATTCTCAAGCACGACGTAAAACCCAATTTCACCTCACCTCACCTACTCGCTATGTGTATGCATGCATAATGATCATAACCATAATCCATTGTTTTTTACCTGATGAATTTTTGTCTTGTCTTTGTCTTAGTTATGATGCGTGTACACTTTAAACAAGTGTACTTCAAGAGAAGACAAGATGGTACTTAATGCACAAAGTGTACAAAACCCTGTAAGCCGCACACTTACACACATGTGCATGTCGCATTCAAGTTACATAACTACACTGCTTTGTAAAGAACACTCTCTACATATACCGTACATGAAGCTGCACCATGTATAACAGCTACACATATACATGTATACATGTTAACGTATGGCGAAAACCCATAATAACTTTGCCACAATAGACAATCATACATTCAAACTATGAATAAATTGAATACTGTACTGGATCAGTAAGGAAGCCAAAATCATAAACTTGCTGACTTCCATGTTAGTCTGTCATACAGACCCTGAAGCAAATATATCCAAGAAAGCCCACGCAAGTCTAGAAAATGTGGCAAGTCTAGATTTCCACAGCTCAGGGCTCCTTTTCATTATTTATTTTTTACTATGAACTTTTTTTCTGAAAGTACACCCAATTGGCCGTCTGTGGTAACGTATTGTTTTGTTTTTTAATTCTGTTGTTACAACCCTTCACGAATACATACAGGTGCCTTAACCAGGAAAGAAAAGAACGGGCAAGAACTACTATGTTTCAAATGGACATAAAAGAATCAAATGCGTTTGTGTTACGAGAAAATGCGAAGTTCTTACCTTAAACCGTCGACGCCATGACGTATTCCCATGCTCTACATTGACACGACTCGTTGTACCAGTGGAGTTCAGTATTTTGTCTTGTTTTGCTTGAGTGCGTTGTCTGTCCCAGCCTACCATATCCCCCGTCCTTAACCCTCTATGTTTAACAGTCTAACGGTGAACTAAACACCTCCTTTTACAGAAACACAAACATTTACACCCTTTATGTCTTATGACTGAAATGCTTTAAATCACAGGTAATCATGCTGAATTATTGTATTTATATAGCTCGTTTCGCCGCTTCCTCTTCCATAACGCACAAAGGGTTAACCGTATTATCATTCATGACACACAGACCGGGCGATATGCGTAACCCCACGTTTTGTAATCCGAATACAGTGGTTGTTCCCGGTTTTTAGGCGCTGTGTTTCAGAAATGATTGAAGCTAATAACGTACAAGTAGCTACACAAACAAGATGTAGACTAACGCTTAGTCTCTAAATATTTAATTATATAATTTCGGTAGTAACAAATAATCCTATTTGAATTGAAAAGGAGCCCCAGTGATATGGGAGATTCACTTGAGGAAATCTAGACTTGCTTCATATAGGGCTTTAGCTTTACAGGGTGAACTTGGCAGTAGGGAATGTAACGCGGTTCGGGGACTGGGAGACACACTAGGAGAGATGTAACCGACCTCTGCCTGGTTATATGACAGTTTAGCACCTTTAATGACATTCTTATTATGTTTGTTCTTGTTGTAATCCCTAGCTATATAAACAATATGTCTGTAGGCTTTTAACGTAGACAAACTTATATATTAGTGTATGGGATATATGTCTGCATGCTATGTTTACACATGATATATGATAAATACCAAAAAGCACCGTGCATTTCCGAGGTATGTGTAATTGAGTGATACTGAATTGTTCTGTATTGATGTTGTCAGGGGAAAGTGGTAGTTTTCCTTAATTGTGCTTCTTTCAAATTGTGAATGACATTGTATTGTATTGATACAGGGAAGTATTTAACATATTATTAACATAACCTTTTTTCGTTTTACATGCTATTGTGAAGTGAGTAAATATTTTCTCACAACTGTATTGTGTCCGTAATCAATATGTCAGCAATACGAAAGTAGCCTGGCATAATAAAACATCCTTAATCAGTTCATGGTGAAAAATAGTCAAAATATACCCTTCAAAAAATGTAGGGGAACCTGAACTTTCAATTTGGAAAGGACCTATAAGCATTAACAAACTTTTCAAAGACAGACATCTTATGAACACACCACCACTTTCTCTTTATCACCACCCCTTTTTTCTTCTTTTTTGTAGTGTATAACACGTATATGTGC